GCTCTCCCTTCCCATGACTGCCACTGTTCCTGCATCTCAAGCCTTTGTCTTTCATTCCTTCTTTTCCTCTCCCTGCCAAACCAACCTAACCCTTTGGTCCTATTGCCATTGCGCTATCTCCTGGGGCCCTCCTTTTTTTCCCCAACCCCTTTATGATGAGGGTAAGACTGTCCCCTCTTCTTCTTCTTCTTCTTGGCAATTGGGGTTAAGTGACTTGCCCAGGGTCACATGGTTAGTAAGTATCAAATGTTTGGTCCGAGGCTGGATGTGAACTCAGGTCCTCCTGACTTCAGGGCCGGTGCTCTATCCACTGTGCCACCTAGCTGCACCCTGCCCCCTCTTCTAGTATGCTTTCATAGGCAGTTTGATAAAAGTCCCTACCCACACCATCACCTCCATTTTATCCTTATCTACTAACATTCAACTGTTTTTGTCCCAAGTGAAAAATATTCTTTGTTACAGCTTTTTCATGCATAACAATATTCCTTCCTAGCATACATCAGAGCCTAAAGGTATGGTGTTGTGGCTCCAGACCATATTGGAGTACGATGACATTCCGGTGACCATCTATTCAAAAAGAATTCCAGGGATTTCTCCTTCCCTGGCCATACGCTTGGTACTATAGATACATTTGTCTTCTTGTATCATTGGAAATAAAATTTGACAGTCCCTATCAGCTCCTTGTTTGTTTAAACTTGAAGGGCTCTCTAATGATGCCTTGGGTACATACAAGGGTGGTAGCAGAGTCAAACTCAGAAGTGGGTGTGGGAGATATTAATTATGATCACAATTATGATCATGATCAATTTACCTTGTTGGGCTGTCTTGGAACCTCTACCCCTTTTGCAGGAAACCTGAACCTAGCAAGGCTGCAACCTTGGCTGTACTTACAGGCTTGGCAAAGAAATTAGTGCAAATCCCCCGGCTGCCATAAGATGCTTTAGAGCCCTCAGTAATAACACAGTATGGGACAGTGCCAGAGCTTGCACAGTATCAGCTCTTTTGCCAGTTGATGCCACTGCAAGTCCTGGGTGAGAATCCATTTCAGAGGATCTGGATTCATCAGATACCAGAGTGTGCAGATGCACAATGTGACCTCAAGGGCTCTGGGCCCTGGGAGCTGAATAGTAAACTCTTCCATTCATGGTGTAATGACCATGGGCAGCTCCTTAATCTATCAAGCCAAATGTACCTTATTTTATTAACAATAAGCATAATGAATGGCAAAGTGGGTCCTGTTAAGGGCATTATTGCTCGGAGTTTGGGCTGACAGCAAAATTACCATTACTAGGGAGTTCTATGACTTCTGAGGCTGAGATTCCTTGGTGAAGTGTAATTTTGTGATCCTTATTAACATTTGGATTGTCTATTTCCCTTGCCCATTAGGTCTATAAATAATCACATTTCCATGATCAGAAAAGATGAACTCGTTCAAAATTCCACTCATTCTTCTAAATAATAATCTTCCAAGCCAGACAGGTGCTTATTAATACCTTGTTATGTTAGATGTCTCTCCTGTTACCCAGGAACTACCTACCATATGTGCTCCTGCTGCTACAGAATTTGAATTTATATGAGCAGGATTTAAATGGCTTTCAATAAATTGGATGTTTCAGAATGTTTTTTTTTCTTTTTCATCCCTTTCTTTTCTGCTCTTCTCTGTCTTCCATCCACTAATTCCTTATCTTTGATTTCCTAAACTTATATTAAAATGCTTCATGTTCCTATTTCACTTTCCTTACAGCACACCCTGAGGTAGCCAACACACATATTATTATCACCATTTTATGGATCAAGAAACTGAGGTTTAGTCATCTTAAGTAGCCACTTTTTTGAGCTTCAATTTCTTCATCTGTGAAAGGTAGGGGTGTGTGTGTGTGTGTGTGTGTGTGTGTGTGTGTGTACTTGATGACTTTTGAATTTCCAACCCTAATGCTTTGATCTTGAATGTGTTTAAGATCCCACATCTGGTAAGTGGCAATTTTTTTATTCAAATTCCAAAGCCTTTTGATGCATAACCTCCCTGAGAAGAATAAATGTCATTTCTATGAATTTGGGTGTTTGTCTTTGAGGCCCAAAATCCAACAAAGCAAATGCAAAATTGCAAACCAAGGTCAGTGATTTTGTTCCTAGCTTCTCTTTGTGAGGTATGATGAACGTTATTGGCTCACCCAGCTAGCTTTTTTTAGTCTTATTATTGTGGTGAGAGTTGCATGGTCACAAATGACATCATGGGAGTAGGAAAAAAAATAATTTTCTTATTTTAATTTAGGGTGTGAATTAAACTTGATCAAGAGGGCAGAAACAATGGGTTTCTGAACACCTAAGGATTTCTGGAAGCAAGCTGGCTGGGTATAGCCGCCTGGAGTCTACATCTAAAAGAGCTGACATAGCCTGGGAACTATCAGCTCAAAAAGTTGATTAGACCCCCGTGCCTGAAGGGAAGAGACTAAATATCAGCTGGCCAACAGATGGCAGCATAGAACGATTCTGTGGATATACTCAGCAGAGAGAAGCATACCCAAGTTAGCAACTTTTGTCTTAATTTACCAATATTAATAAAGTTACTTTCTTCTCTCTCTATATATGAAAAGAGACTTTCTTTTTTCTCTGGTATTCCAGGTCTCCATATTATGACCAACCATACAGATACTTTTCCTGTGGCAAAAGCAGGTTTAGACATAATCTTGATAATGTGTTCATAAGAAAAGTTGGCTAAAAGATCCAGAAATACCTATTTGTCTCTGTGTCAGGGAGTGGTTTCCCAAACAATAAGTGATATGAGACCAGGGAATTCAAATTTCTCCAAGTTAAAAAATACAGTCACCAGTCACTTTAGAATCCAAATGGAGGATCACATACTCATATTATTTCAATCCTGCAGAAATTCTCCAAAGGGTTTAGCAATTTAATAAAGAATTTGTCTGGATATTAAATTTGGTCTTAGGGAGAAGCTCGAGGTCATTTAAAGGACTTCACAGTTTCCCAGTGGTAGTCCAAACTGCTTTTCTCCTTCTGTTTCTCTTTTTTCCTTATATCCTGCATGTCTAAGATATATGAAACAGATCTACAGATTGTCCATCCAGATGCGTGGTCTGGACAATAGATATTCTTCATCCATCTGGTTTTTCCTGTGTAGATGCTTAGGGAAAAGTGTGTTGAGTGATTGAGTGGTTCATGTAAGAGGCTCTGCAATATTCTGAGGCTTGCTGCACAGTGTCATTCGCAAATAGGAACACTTAGAGGCCCTCAACATCTATGTGGAATTCCTTTTCCATTTAAACTTTATTGTACATCATCAGTGATGGAGATGAACATGTTTGGTAAACATATGTCTTCCTGTTTTATTCCCAACTTGATATTTATAGAAAGTCATTAAAAAAACCCTCTGTTTTTATGACTGAAGAAATCCTGCATGATTTTGGCATTTATGGGAGATATTTTTTTTTGTAGGAGAGTTTTTGTGGTAGAGTTTTGCTGTGCTAAATCTAATGCTTATTTATAGTTAACAAACAATAAACACAGCAGGACCTTATAACACCTTTAAGTTAATTAAGCTTGACCCTAATTTTCTTACTGAAGCAAAGCCCCATCTTTTGAACATGAGTATTCTTCTGGTGAGTTATGGTTGTGAGTCATAGAATGCCACAATTTCTAGTTAATTAAATTTGTGAGTCCTCCAAAGGTATTATAGAGATACATGGTTAGTATGAGTAGGCTGCAGCATATTAACCAAAGAACTGTGTAGGAGAAACAGCATAAAGTATGTCATCAGAGAGATGTGATAAAATGAACTCTACTATTGCTCTTTAATGGAATGTATTTATCTGTTCCTTTATGGCTCCCATCATCATTCTTATAACTTTCTGGACCAGAATGCCCTTTCCTGGCCACCACTCCCCTGTGAATATAGTTTCCTCTGTTAGAATATAAACAAGTGCAGTGACTATCTCATTTTTGTGTTTGTTTCCCCACTGCTTAGCACAAAATAACTGCCTTATAAATGCTTTTTCATCCATCTATCCACCCATTTGGAAAATACATGTGGGCTGGTTAGGTAGTAAAGAAAAGAGGTAACAAATGTATAGCCCTTATACTGCATTGGTATCTATACAATGTCAAAATGTTGGATGGAACCCTGCCCCCCATGGGGGATTTATCAAAAAACATGGACAAGAGTTGCACGGAATGAGGAATTGATAGATTGAGTTTTGAGCTGTTGGACCTAGTGACTATTTTGTCAAGATCAAAGGTCTATTGAAGTTCTGAATTTTGGTCTCTTTTAAGAATTTCAGCTAGTTTTGGAAGAAGAAAATTATCTAGAGTGTTCCTCAGGAAAAGACCATAAAGGTAATTTTTCTGAAAAGTTGATATACCATTTCTAGATGGATAGAACCCATGCATCTCCTATAGTCTTCCCTCTTGTCTATTAGCTTTTAAGACATAATCCATTTTCTAGTCACCCAGGAATTCATAGGGATTATATAATCTACTTCAGATGATAAATCTCTTGTTTTGGATTGCTGTCTTTTACCTAGGTCAATTGGGAACTACCCTGGTCAGCTAACTTGTTTTCTCCATGCTAATATCAGGCAAAGAAAAAGCACAGCATTGAATTTTAACTTTAACTAATAGCAAAATAAGAGAGCAAAAAGCTCAAATTTGTTCCAAAGCAACTGCAGTCTCCTACTTTTCACCCCAGGGCTGCTGGGTGGTGCAGTAGATAAAGCATTGGCTCTGGAGTCAGGAAGACTTATCTTCCAGAGCTCAAATCCAGCCTCAAACATTTACTAGCTGTTGGTATCCTGTGCAAGTCACTTAGCCTTATTTGCCTCAGTTTCCTCATCTGTAAAATCATCTGGAGAAAGAAATGGCAAACCAATCTAGTATCTTTGCCAAGAAAACCCCAAAAAAGGGTCATGAAGAGTCAGACCCAACTGAACAACAACAAAAACCTTTCACCAAAGCATGTTTAAGAAATAGTCTCCATCAAGACCCACATTATGAATGAAGAGTTTTCTCTTTCAGAGCAGGCAGCCCTATTGTCACAGCTCAAACACTGTTGACCATTGCTTTTGTTCCATGTCTCCATATTGTTTGTCTTGGCTGGTTCTGGATTCTACTCAGCCTGATCACTGTCATCCCAGTGCTTTTTGGCTTATCTCTCTTCCATCATGCTCACAAACCCTGATATCAAATCCCAGGCTTTCTTATCTGTAGCCCATGCTCTTATGGTAATACCAGCATACCCAGCCACACAGTCCCGGGGGAATGAAAGTCCTCATCCCTCCCAGCCTCTTTTGCTAGATCATCATCAATATCTCACCTCCTGACTGTAGGTGTACCCAGTGGAGCTCTCCTGGATCCTTGTATTCTGTCTCTAAATTCTATGGTGACTAATATCAGCTCCCATGGGCTTAATGATTATATCTATGCTAATAACTCCTAGCTCCACATATCTATCTCTAAGCTTTTCTCTTGAGTTTCATTCTCACATCACCAACTGCATATTTGGAGATTTCCAACTAGATGTCCAAGAGTCATCTCTAATTCCCAGTGTTTGAAACAAAACTGAACATCATTTCCTTCAAACCCACACCTCTTCCATACTTTCTTATTCTGTCAGTGATACCACCATCTTTTTAGTCACTTAGGTTCAGAACCATGGTATCATCTTTAACTCCTTACTCTCTTACTTAACTCATATATTGAATCAGATGCAAAGTCTTGTCTCTTCTACCTTTATAGCTATTATAAGTGTTATTCCCTTTTCTGTGCTCATATAGCCACTGAGCTGGCACAGGCCTTTGCCATTTCTTGCCTGGACCATCATAAGAGACCTCTAATTGTTCTCTCCACTTCTCCATACACTTGCCAAAGTGATTTTCCTAATATGTCTGACAATGTCACTGCCTTACTAAACTCCAGTGGTTCCTTCTTTGTCTAGGGCCAAATAAAAACTAAATTTGGCTGAACTCATTCTTCCACCCTCCCCTCCCCTTTTTCCCCGCTCTTCTCTCTTCTGGCTTTCCCTACCAAGTCACTCAGGCTCACAACCTAGGTGTCATCCTCAAGTCTTTACTCTCACATCACATCCAATCTGTTACCAAGTCCCTTAATTCTTACTTTTGTTACAGCTTTCATATAAGTCCCCTTCTCTCCACCCCTCTGGTGAAGGCCTGCATTACCTCATAGTCAGACTATTACAGTAGCTTTCCGGGTGTTCTTTTCCCACTCCAGTCCATCCTTCACTCAGCTGCCAAAGTCATCTTCCAAAAACACAGGTCTTGATCATGTCACCCTCTTACTCAACAAACTCTTCTAGCTCTTTATTACTTACAGGATCAAATATGAATTTTTCTATTTGGCTTTTAAATTCCTTCACAACTTAGTACCTTCCTGCCTTGCAAGTCATTTTTATACTTTGGTCCCCTCTACATATGCTGCAATGCAGTGACACTGGCTTCCTCCCTGTTCTTTGCACAAGACAGTACATCTCCTGACTCTGGGCATTTTTACTGTCTATGCCCAATGCTTAAAATGCTCATTTGCCTCTAAGCTTCCCTGGCTTCCTTTAGGACTCAGTCAAAATCGTATCTTCAAATCAATAAGCCTTTTCTAGTCTTCACCCCAGCATCTCCTTTCCTGCCATGCTAGGGCCTTCCCTCTGTTGATAACTTCCCAGTATATATCTTGAATGTAAATTGTTGTTTTCATATTTTTTTCCATTAGAGTATAAGCTCCTTCAGGGTAGGAAGGAACTCTTTTGCTTTTCTTTCTATCCCTAGCACAGTGCTGTGGACAGAGAAAGTACATAATAAATGCTTGTTGACTTGAGTTGACATGACTCTTTCTTACAGAATATATGGTTCAGTCACTCTTACCTTGTGTCTCCATGCATTTACATTGACTGTTCCCCATGCCTGGGATGGGCTTCCTCTTTACCTCCATCTCTGAGACTCCTTAGTTGACTGTCTTATCTGATTCTACAGCTGCTAGTGTCTTCCTTCCAAAATTATATGTTTGCCTAAATATGTATTTATTTTCCTTGCAGCTAGATTGTGGGCAGAGATATTTTATCTTCATATCACATGCACTGAGCATAGTGCCTTGCACATATTAGACACTTAATAAAAGCTTGTTGATTGATTGGTTAGGGATTTCCTCAATGAACAATCATGTTTTGAAGCCAGGCATACTGGAAAATGTAGCCCTTTTGCCATTGATGTGTTTCTGTTACAGCGGGATTTCCCCAACCTGTCTTCAAAAGAAGACGCTCTTTGCGAATTAGGATTTCAGGCTTCTAACACCTTCTATCCCATGACATTATTTCCTTATTATACTTGCTGATTGAAGGTTCACAGGTGTTTTTCTTAGATGTCATTCTGCCACAAGCTATTCTCAGCTGCAATACTTCGAAGGAATAACACTAACAATTGTCATAGTTCTACTTCTCAATGAGCAATAACATTGGTCCCTAGGTTTGTGGTGGGGAGGGATGGCTTTCTGGGAGGGAGAAGCAACTTTCTGAGATAGACTTAAACTGTAAAACACTCTGTAAATATTAGTTGTTAAGAGCTGCTTCCTCTGAAGTTGGTGAGTTCCCCATCACTGGGAGTCTTCCAGTCTGCATCCATGTGTCTGACCATCCATATGTCAAGGATTTGATTCAATCCAATGAGTATTTATTCAATCTTCTATTTTCAAAGCATACACAGCAAAAGCAAAGTGGTCCCTGCCAATAGGATCTTATATTCTACTGATACTATAGAGGGAATTCCTCTTCACAAATGGAATAGATTAAATGGTCTTCAGGGTTCCTTCCAGCTCAGAAATTCCATAAAATAGACCACAATTCATTGTTGTGAACAGAAATGCAAATGCCCTCTGATCTCTTGTGGAATTTAATTGATGACTCATAACAGCATGCATTAGCAGATTGAGTTCTAGACTTGAATGAGGAATAGCTGGGTTCAAATCCTGCCTCAGACTCTTGCTAACTGGGTGACCCTGAGTAAGTCACTTAACTTTTCTCATCATCTGAAAAATGAGGGAATTGGACTCTATGATATTTAAAGTCTTTTTTAACTCTGAACCGAATGTCCTATCATTCTAATAGACACAATGAGTTGTACAGATATTTCATGTGGCCCATATAGTATGTACGGTTGAATATTGTCTCTATAGCTACCTTGCCCATGAAACTGTTGTTTTAATAATTACAATAAAAATTTGAATTTATATAGTGCTTTAAGTTTGTCAAAACCCTGCACATGTTTTATTTCATTTGATCCTCACAACAAACTGTGATGTAGGTGCTACTAATATCCCATATTATAGATGAGGAAACAGGCTATTTTATGGTCATAGTCTGTAGTAGCAGCAATAGGCCTGTGGAGGAGAATTTGACTTACCAGAATTTTCCTTCCTTTGCTCTGCTTGGCAGCCCACATCTGTTAGAAGGTTATAGGGAGAGACTAACTCTTCCTAAATTTTCTCCTTCCTATCCAAAATCATATAACACATAGAGAGATGCCGAACTCCCATAAGGGACTTTTCCTGGTTCTCCCTCTCCCAGAAATTATTTTGCATTTATTTTATATATAACTTGTATTCGCTTGGGGTCATAGATTGTAAGCTCCTTGAAGGCAAGGACTGTATTTTGCCATCCCTAGCATTTAGCACAGTGCCTCACGTAAGATGGGTGATTAAGAAATGCTTATTTATTGATTGATTGATAGATTATAAAGCTAGTCATTTAGCTTGAGCCTGTCATTTTACATTTGCACAAACTGAGGCACAGAAATGAAATGGCACAAACATAGTCACACAGGTTGTAGTAAATTAAATAATCAGCAAGCATTTATTAAACATTAGCTATATCCAGGTCATCATGCTAGGAGCAAATGCAAAGAATGAAATTCCCTCTTCTCAAGGAGTTTACATTAAACTGGAGGAGACTTTATATATAAAGATAAACAGACTGTATGTAGGTATACATATATATTATGAAACATTACAAGGTAGTTAAGTATGAGGTAGTCAGGGAAAGAAGGCATTAGAAGTTGGGAGAATTAGGAAAAACATCACATAGCAGGAGGTGCCTGAGCTGGGAGTTGAAAGAAGAGAAGGATTCTAAGAGATGAAGATAAGGAGGGTGTAGTCCAGGCATGGGGCACGTCTAGTGCAAAGCCGTGGAAGATGGCAGGTAGAGTTCTGCATGTGAAGAATGGAAAGAATATCAGTTTGACTGTGCTCTAGAATGTGGAAAGGAGAGAAACGTATAGTGAGGCCGGAGAGATAGTGAGTGACACACATGTTATTTCCTCTCTTGTAGAACGTAAACTCCTTGACAGCAGAATCAGCTTCATTTTCATCTTTGCAGCCCCAGCACCTAGGACTAGGTGACTAATAAATGCTTTTAAAGTGGAATTGAATTGAACTGAATTCAATTAAATTGGTACAATGGAAAGAACACTGGCTCCGGAGTCAGAGTCCCCAAGTGCAAATCCCACTTCTGTTATTCATTACCTGTGTGACGTTGGGCTAGTCGTGTGATTCTTTGGGCCTCAGTTTCTTCACCTACAAAATAAAGGGCTTGGACTCTGTGGCCTCTGACGTGTCTTCCAGAGCTCGATCTATGATCCAATGAATTGGATTTAACTTTGCCCAACAAGAAACAGCATGTGAACTGAAATGCCCGAGGGTGGCTGCTTTTTAAGATGAAAAGAAAGGCATTTCTAAGCCGGCAAAGTATTCTAAGGTCCAGGCAGAAAACACTTATATATTTAATTTCACTAGAGGCAAAATGTCCCCCAAAAGGTTGTTGAATTGCAAAGGAAAAAAAGGGGGTGATCTGTCTGATCCAGCTCTCGACTCCTCTCGGCTGTTTCCTTTGATAAGGCTGATATCTGAATGTTTCCTTGGCGCTCTCTTTCAGCCTCATTTTACAAGTGCCTCATTTGGGATGAGCATATCTGACGAAGCCTTGGTGGAAGTCCTTTAATTTTAAATGATAAATTTCCTTTTGTCATTTCAAATAAAAAAAAAAGCAAGCCTCTTCCAGCAATGGCCCTGTTCTCTGCTAGCTGA